TTTATTATAAAATAATAGTATAATAATATAACAATAATAATAATATTTGTATATAAGAAGTTTTGAAAAAGAAATAAATGTTTGATTAGCTTCGTGGCATAAAAACAGGCTACATACATCTATGAATAATTTATGAATAGACTCATGAGAATTTTTCTCATTGTAAAATTGACTCATAAACTCGGCGCGGAATCTCGTTTTTCAACGAAATTAGACGCGAGATTAGATTAATACAGGGGAGTCGAAGAAACGAGGAACGTGTGTGTATCAGAGTTATCCCCGAAAGTTGACAAAAAGCGAAAATCTCCCAACGTCAACAATAATCCGCACTGCCCACTCCCATAATTACGTTATGTCTAATTAGCGCAATTTTCACAATCAACGGGGCGTAACGAAAATCGAAGGAAGGGGAATATGCGGAAAAAAAGAGGCCCATCGGGACGGGTTCGTTTTCGCTATGGAAGATCGACGATAACGCGAAATACGGTATGGACGAGGGGATCTCTCTCCTCCGATGTCAACAAAGCGCCGAGGAGATGTTATTTTACTCACACGTTCGTGTATCAGCGTCGCTTGGATGATTGCTTATATTGCTGCAAGGTTGGAAGAGACGGCTCGCAAAGAGTACGGCGTTGTGTAAACACTCCGCGAACTCGAACGTTGCTCCTTCGTAGGCGATTCACTCTGTCATCGAGTATCACGTACGTAAACGACGTTTCGTCCCCCCGATATCACTGGATATCACGCGCAATATGGCAGGCCGCGCGCTGTCTCTGATGACGATGGCGACGATCAAACGTCAAACCACCTGTCACTCGCGTTAACTCCTGCTCCGCCCGACCGCGCTACCTTCGCTCGCTAAGCCGCCAACTTCTCGACGTTGGAATAAATTGGATGGGATTTGTCGCGCAAATACGATGACGGGAAGAAGATCCTTGGGGAGTGCGATGGATACGTTTCTCTTGGTATACTCCCGACGTCATGAATGGTCATGAATACCTGAAGAGAAAATTTTATCAATCTCGGAACGCGTGTCGTGTCTAGATATTCCTGCATTCATGACTGTTGGTCATATTTGAGGAAATAACCAATAAAATAAGAACCAATATAATTATGCAAGAAAAAGGGAGCTACTCCCGATTTCGATAATTTTGAAATATGTTATCAAGGTCATCACCCTGACCCAGATAGCAAAATGCTAGCAGCATGCGCGCAGATTGGCAGCAAATTTAATCAGAATTCCATGCCAAAACCATAGCCATCTGTGACCACATTAAGCTCAGGTTTTGTCGACAGAGCCTGCTGACAGGCAATGTGAGCAAATTGGCTGCAGAAATCACGCAGAGCCTGCGCGCAATCTGACGGCAGATTGACAGCAGAAATCGAGCAGTTTTTAGACATTTATATAAAATGGTACATTTAAATGGATTTAAACATTTAAAAGGTCTCGATTCCAAGTAGCAAGATGACAGTAAATTTTGGTCACAAAATAATCAATTAGACGTCCTAAAGTTAGGTCTCATAAGATTCAAAAATGACGTCAATAGTTGATATGTCACCTTCACGAGATGTCATTTTCTGACGTTTGTATTAATAACATAAATTTATAATATTAATAATATATATTAATGTAATATATATAGGAAAATTTGAATAATTTAATTTATGAAATTAAATCAAAATTAAAATATTTTATTTATATGGAAGTTAATTTCTATTTTATATCTTAAATAGATATAATAACAAACGATTTTCACTTATTTGGATAATTTCTTTCCGAATAAGTGAAAATCGGACATTTATCTGTCTGATTTTCTAAAAATCAGTTCAATATCTGAATTCCCGGTATGGGAGTCGTATCAGAAATTAAACTGATAGAAATAATTACGATGTTATTAGCCGCATTTTGCAGGCATTATATACGCTCGTGACAAGAACTTGGATACGGGTATAGAAAGTGAATAGTGCGCCGCATAGCTGTAAGCGAATAAACTATACTATTTCAATAAATTATATGAATGCTAAAAGCTGCAGTTTCTGTTTGATTTCTACTGCCAATTTACCATCAGATTGCGCGCACGCAGATCTTGCTCGATTTTTGCCGACAATCTGATGTCAAGTCATGTTAGCAGATCCTGCTCGATTTCTGCTACCAATCTGCCGTCAGATTGCGGGCGCGCAGATTCTGCTTGATTTCTGCTATCAATTTGACATCAAATTGCGTTGTGCAGATCCTGCTCGGTTTTTGCTGGCTATCTGCTATAATAATTCTATGCAAATCCTGCTCGGTTTCTGCTACTGATCTGCTGTCAAATTATGTCAGCACGTTTTGTAACATTTCTGCTGACATTCTGCTATTATTATTTGATATAACAGACTTTGTATACAATCTGGAATCTTTCTGCTGACAAAAATTTGTAGCAGACGTTTGGCAAAATCTGTTCGAACAGACTTGGCTATCTGGGATCTTACCTTGTCTTTATTTAGATTATCAAAGTATATATACGCTAAAAAATAAAAAAAAACCCTAAAAAATAAAAAATAAAAACTAAATATGAAATCAATAGTTAACTATAGCCATCAAGTATATAGAAGCAGTTCAGTTTGTGAGTATTTGTATATAACATTAATTAATTAATTATGTATAATAATGATTCAAATAACTATTCAGATGTGAATTTCTAATTAATATATAGATGTTCATAAAATATCTCCGGTAAACATTTTATGGAGATAAATATGTAGATAACACGTGGATCTCTAATAAATATCTTTGGTAGCTATTTGGTAAACATGGATATATGGATAACACTACCCAGCAAGCAAAATGATGCAAACTTTGCGCAAAGTTTGCAGCAAACCCGAGCATGCCTTTACAGCAAAATTGTGACAAGGTGTGTCCGCAAAAAGCTTAGCTTTTGCTGGCAAAGCTTGTCGCAATAGTGTGATGCACATTTTGCGCAAATAATAGAGCAAATCTTGCCGTGCACGGCATGACAGCAAATTTGTGGCAAGAATAGGGCAAACCTTGCCATGCACGGTATGATAGCAAATTTGTGGCAAGAATAGGGCAAATCTTGCCATGCACGGTATGATAGCAAATTTGTGGTAATTTTCTATACAGGGTGATTCAAGACTTTTATGATAAACTCTGAGAAACGATAAATCTCGGAGAGAGGACTTTTTTTGTGAAACAATCCATTCTTTGACGCGTCGTTTATTAGAAGCTATATATATATATGCGACCACGCAGACAAAGTCTTAGATGACATTTATTATAATTATGAATTATATATATATGAGAAAAATTTATTGTTTCAAGTACACTTGCGGATAGTTTACAGAAAGTGTTCAAAGTGTCTACCCTAAACTTCTGATTGCACTCTGCGCTATAGTTGGTCTCTTGCTGTCATCTACGTAGCTCATTTATTTGAAAGGTACAGAGGCAATTGACGCCAAAAAATGCAAGCAGATTTAGGGTAGATTCTTTGAATACCTTCTGTAAGCTGTCTGCAAGTGTACTTGAAACAATAAATAAATAATTCATCTTAATTGTAATCAATGTCACCTAATTAAGACTCTTGTCTGCGCAATCGCATAGCATCTAAATGACGGATGAGAGAACATTGGTTGCTTCACAAAAAATGGTTTTTTGTGTGAGATTTATCGTTTCCCAGAGTTTGTCGCAGAAGTCTTGAATCACCCTAAAAATTAATTGTACACAAATTAATAAAATTTTAGTTTATTTATACATTAATTAAAACAAACACAAACATTAAAATAAAATATTTCTTTAATATAAACACAAATATATAGGTGATTCCATATCAAATTGAATAAAAATAACCTCGTATTTCTTAAATTGATTGAAACTTTTTTCACGTGCATATGTAAAAAGGTTTCGATCGATTTAAAAAATAAGAGATCAAAATGGTTGATTTTTGTCCGATTTGATGTGGAATCATCCATATACAAAAAGAGCATTTTTAAATCATGGCTCTGAGAAGTGCCAATATAAAAAAGATGGTTTCCCGTTAGTGGCACTTAAAAGTACCGATATGATATGCGAATCGAGGCGAATTTCATCGTTCGATAATTTCAAATGTGGCACTTTTCAGTGCCGCTTTGGCCAATGAAAAGTGCCAATTGGCGCTGAAAATCGTCGATTGATTTTTCTCTTCCTTCTTCCCCTTTTGTCCTCATTTGTTTGTCATCTTCTTTTTCCGCTTCCTGTATGCCTACAACAATCGACAAATTGTTTTTCTGCTAGTTTTCAATATTGCGGAATGTAAAAGATTACAGAATGAACAATATGGCTAAAAATTAGTGGACAATTCTCCGTCTGTTTCAAAATTTTTAACTCTTTTTACTAATGATGTTCAGTCTTCATTTCACCATTTTTTAAAATTTCTAGTCTAATTCCATTACTCTCTCTCTTTCTCTCTTTTCTCTCTCTCTTTCTCTCCCCCCTCCCCCCCTCTCTCATATGCAACTATTTATTCCATATGACAACAGCTGCATACATGCCGCAGAGCATTTTACTTATTAAAAAAAGAAATAATCATTATACATTATTTGTTATTGTTTTCTTTTTCATTTTTCATTATTAAATATATTATATTCAAGAGATGCAAAACAGAAAAACATTGTAACAAATAAAAAAAATGTTAAAAAATGTGCAATCAATTTTAATTTTAAATAGAACAATAATATTTTTATATAAGTAAGTCAAAAAGTACAATATGTAAAGACATAAATATTACCATAAAAATAAGTACGGTCGATGAAAAATACCGAAAGAAAAAAGCTAAAATATTACAATCAAACGCTAAGCTTTGAAAAAGGAGACGAAAATATTTTTATATTATTACTTTGTAACTTGCATTACTTTCATTTTATTATACACCAAATATATCATCCTTTTATAATTAAAAAAGTTTTTTTTCTCGTTTAGAATTAATGTATTACCACAATATTTCTTTTTTTTATTAGTACGTTTTCTATTTTGATATCTTTCGAATGTGACATATTTAATAATGACAAGTAAGATAATAAAAAGTAATATATAATTGATGTACATTAATCTCTCTTTGACTCTCATTGTTGTGTGAAATAAATAGTCGCATATAAGAGAAAGACAAAAAGAGAGAGAGAGAAAGAGAGAGAGAGAGAGAGAGAGAAAGAGAAAGAGAGAGAGAAATGGAATTAGATTAGAAATATAAGAAAGCGATGGAATTAAGGAGCATCGTTAAAAAAAAAAGATAAAAAAAGACGAGGAGAATTGTCTACGGGGCCAAATTTTGATCATATAAAAAGAATACATATTTTGTTTTATACAACTGACCTAATTTTCTTCTGATTGGACCATTTCATCGTGTTCGTCGCTCCATAGGTCATGTGCTCTTGTGCTCTTTGGCCTCCTTCCGGAGGATTCAAATTGTTGCGACCCTTATTTCGATGTCTTTGTTTGGCCGTCCGCACAGCATCCTGCATATCCTGCATATTGCAAAAGTTTCCGGCCAGTGACATTTCGTACTCTAATTTATTTAAAAAAGCCTAATGACATTTTAACCATTATCAGGTGCGAGTATAACATATAGGAAACAAAATAATATAGTGAAAGAATATTGTTTATGTTTGTAAAAGTATTTATAG